GGGGGGAGAATGTGAATGAACCTACATAAATATGGTAAATTAGTCAGGCGTAATTATCTCTATAAACAGAAAATATTAGAAATAATCATTATGCTAAGAGGTTGTAAGGATAGTTTGGTCAAATGAAAACCATGAAGTTGTAAGTAACTAGAAATATAGTGACAAAATGCAGATTTTGCATTGAATTTTTTTCTGAAAACGTAGAAAAAATGTTGAAAGTACTATTAACTGGTTACTGCCATTAAGATGATCGACGAAATTGGGCAGAAAAAAAGTCTTTTGAGGAAGGTTGTACTTGTATATCAGACTAATATTAGGCCAACAAATAAAAGTGATTTTATTTTCTATTTTTCCTTTTTTTTTGGCCTTTAATTTCCAACTTGATCTATTTTTCTTCTTCTTCTTCTCATGCTTATTGATGGAAATATGCAGTAAAAATCCTTTATTCAAGAATTGTCCATTCTTGGGCAGTCCTTTTCTAGCATATATTGAAGCCAAAAAAGTTCTTTTGGTTTGTTGAAAACCTTTCCTTTTCTTTGCATCATCCATTTTAAGCTTTAGAATTCCCCTGACTTTTGGACTCTCCTTTCTTATATATATAATTCTCTCACTTCATTAAGTGCGGGTTTTCTCCTTTTTGCACATGTAATGTAATACTTCACACTCCATAGCCGCTGTAAAAATAATAGTAAAAAATATATAAATTTTTTATATAAATATAAATATAAAACATATACATTCGTATATTATATACAAAAATTATACAAGTTTTATACACTTTTCAATTACTAGATGTGAATAGTTTCTGATGCGAGCTAAAAGTGATAATACCCCATACTTCTTGTGATCCACTTTAAGTGATTTTTTAATTTTTTTCACATATATTAAGGAATTCACGTTTTAGCATTAATTAATACTCCCTCCGGTCCAAAATAAGTGATTTTTTGGCCTTTTTCTTGTGGTCCAAAATAAGTGATTTTTCCAGATTTCAAGAATGAATTAATTATTTTTTTCCTACATTGTCCTTGGAGTAAATAGTGTTGGAATATGTGTTAGGAGTGTTTATGTGAGATAGTAAAGGTTAATATGGTCAATTCTATTGCTAATTAATGCTAAAAGGTGGATTTCTTAATCTGTGTGAAAACATCCAAAAAATCACTTATTTTGGACCGGAGGGAGTAATAAAATAGGCCATATTAATCTTAATTTGCTCATTGAAAATATAACAAACTATTCCTAAGCTCTTTACTTCAAAGACAACTTTGAAAAGAAAAAATTAAATTCTTCTTGATATCTCAAAAAATTAAATATTATGGACTACAAAAAGGTCAAAAAATACTTAGGACCGGAGGAAGTACTAGCTCCTCGTAACTAGTGACAAGTACTTCCTCCATTCAAAACTAAGTTTGACTCGTCAATGAATTAAGAATATTTTCTTTAGAATTTTATGGACATGTTAGAATATTTGTATAGAGGTAAAAGTTTCTCATAAGGATAAATAAGTAAATTTAAAGACATTTTTTTAATTATAAAAGTATTGTATCATTGCTTAGAATGTACTTATTTAACAAATATCCAAAGGAACTTTCTTTTATACTAAGTATAGCTTGTTTCCTCATTTGTCCTTTGGGTAATCATAGTATGTTTTCTGGGCATTACTCTCTCTTAGGTAGGTGGGAAATTACGATAGTTAAGAAATACTACAGTAAATATAACTCACTTTTTCTGAATTTTGCAGTCTAAAAAATGTAAGCATTATATGCTCCCGATTCTTTTTGTACTAATGAATTGGGAGTATTTTGTTTTTCTTAATCATTACGCCTTTGTTGGTTTCCAGGAAAACTGTTAAATCTGAACTATTTTGCAAATCTAGTAAGGTGAAGTATGATTTTAAAATGAACAACTTGTTGCAGATTCTTTATTTGTATTGTACGTACAACGAAACTGTATATATAGCTAGCTCCTTTCTTAAAGAGTGCATTATGCTTAGCTACGACCAAAGGACCCTAGTGCGGTGAATGAGATTGGTTTTTGCTTAACCAAAGGCCCGGGTTCGAGCCATGGGTATAGAAAATACTTGGGGAGCGCTTCGAAATAATTTTATTTTTCCTTTTAAAATTTTTAGAGTTATATAATATATCTTTTTGAATTTTTCAATTTTTTTTTTGAGTTAGGGAGCGCTTCCCCCTAAATGGGGCCCTACGCGATGCGAATCTGAATATAATCGGCCTTCAATGCGTGCCGAACACTAAGTGGGAAACAAAAAAAAGAGTGCATTCCTATTCTATGCTGCCAACCTAAGCCTTGCCTATATAGGTTTTTCTTTTTGGTTGGGTGGGGTGGGGGGGGGGGGGGGGGTTGTAACTATTTATTCCGAATTTAGTGGTCTGATTAATTTGAATATTCTTTAAGTCCGGTCATTAATAGGTCAAAAGTGCTTTTACCAAGAAATTTTCTATTAGCTCTCGAACATGAGATTTCTGATTAAGAGTTGAAATATTCAATCTATTTTACCACCGCTGGCCTTGCTTTATCATATTTTCTTACTTTCCTTATTAGTCCGTTCAAAAATGATTGACATATTTCTATATTTATAAACAATTTAACTTTAATTTTTTTATTCTATCCACTTTGTCTTTAAGGAGAAACTTTTATAATCACACAAATATTATGATCGCACTAAACTTTTGCCCCTTAAGCTTCTAGCACCATATATTTAATAAATATTTTTTTTCCCTTAAACTTTATGTCAAGTCAAATTACATTATCTAAATTAAAATTGATGGAGTATATGATAGATGTGAAGAATATGTCTACTGAAAGATTGGCCAAAACCAAGTATGTCTAAGAAGTAAGATTGCCCATTCCCCCTTTATTACACTAGTTCATGAACCCAAAATTTCCCCTCTTTCTCCAACCTTATCCATACAAACAAATAATTATATCTTATATTATCCTTTTAATATTTAATTCCTGTCATCTTCTTTCTTTAACAAGGTACAACTTATTTCACTTAAATTAAAGAAGTCTGTAAAGGTGCGTAAATAATTAAAGCATGGGCATTTTCTTTGTTTAATCATTTGATAATATATTGTCTCGAAAATTTTCAATTTCAGAGAAATAGGTTTGTTAGAGAAGTTTTATTGTGTGTTTCATACAACTGACATTAGTCGTGTGAGACTCCTTTTTCTCTCACAAATTTGTGGATCCCAATCTTACACTTCTGAGTTCACAAAAATTTGAATTCATAGAACTGTGAGACAAAAAAAATACCTCATATAACTAGTGTCAGTTGTATGAGACATAAAATAAAATTTTTCGATTTATTAAAAGAAGATCAAAGAAACAGCAAGTTGTAAAGTGTTAAAGATTCGCTGCTCTTAACGAGACAGGTGCTCAGTAAACCTTTTCTTGGAAATGAAAGATAGAAAAAGAGAAGTAGATGTGTCTATTTCATAAATTTATATGTATCAGATATTTACGCTAAATCAAATAAATATAGCATGACATATGATGTTACAAATATTACTATTTTAAATTAGTTACTTAATATATATTTTTAATTTAATTATATATAATATTTAATTCTAATAAATTAATATAATTTGATGTAAAAAATCCGTTATAAATTAATTTTTATCGTATCTATTCTGCATCCAAAAAGCAATACTTATATCCATGTTTATAAGAAGCTTTTCGTGGAGTTGGATATACTTGCGGTCAGGGGCGTAACCATAGTGTTAATTACGAGTCTGTCGAACTCACTAGATTTTGTCTAAATTTTGTATTTGTATTAAAAATTTAATAAATACGTATAAATTATTATTTAAAATTCAATAATTTAAAAAGATTATAATCTGAACCGATAAGGTCAAATTCAGCTCACGCCTTATACTGTCAGTATCTGTATTTATCACTGTGTGTGTTTTGGGAGTGGGGACCACAGAAAGGAAAAAGTTTTCGACTTATTTATTAATATCTACCTGTGGATCTGCTTTTAATCTCTTTGAAGTCGATCTCTGTTCTTTCTGTCAGTTTGACCTCTTATTTCTTGTCCCTTGTATCTAATCTTTTACAGCTAAATTCCAAGAATATACTTGAAAATAATTTAGAATTTACTTAAAAAGTTTTTGGTTTGGGAAATAACGCGCCTTTCCATGTTCATAAAGGAAAGCAAGTTCGTTGTTTATTAGTTAGAAAAGATATC